TATTAATTGTTCAAAGTGAAGACAAAGAATTTGGACAGTTTCTCATTATTAAACAGTAGTGAATATAATGAACTACATCTGTAGTCACTCTGCTACGACACCTGTGTGAGCTCGAGGAGAACTGACTTCAAATTTTGTTTGCAGATGCCCATTGGTTTGATATTTTGACATCTATGCAATGACATTCAAACATTTTTATGTGTGATGATGTCTCCAAAAGTGTCCATATACACTTCAGGGCCACAGTATCTATGTATACAGACCAATTTAGCTAGACATTTGAATCCTATGCTGAAAATTAAAAGGCTTTATATAAGGTATAATCTGGGTAAGAATGCTGAGTCATTCATGCAAAAAGTCATCGCTGCGGAATGCACAACCAGGAAAAAGAGAAACAGCTCTCCAGGGAGAGGAAAGCCGTTCGGAATTAAGTTGTTACACGAATCTTTGGGTTTAGCAACCTGACAGAAGTGCAGGGACGTTTAAAGTCAGTTCAAGACACATGCAATCTAAATGAACCCCGATTGTTTGAACCTTGAAGCACACTCCTTTCTGAAAACATTCTGTGGAAAAAACAGTTTCCTATCGCAAACCGTCACGGCAGCCCCAGAGCTGGTGCATCTGTGGAACCCTACTGCTCATGCTGAAAACGATAAATATGCCCGTGTTTTCTCAGTGCTTCACTGACCTCTGGTTGCTCCTGGTGATGCTGGATGGGGAGCATGTTGGCTACGGAGGCCGCTCCGAGCACGGCCATGAGGGCAGTTCGGTGATCCGACACCCTGGATTTCTGCCAGACCACAGCCTGTAACAACACGATAAAACAGGTCAAGTTATTTTTCGGTCATCCTAAAATAAGACCACCTGTGGGATTGCATGCTCACAAACAGCCATTAGCCACCAATCAAGTCTTCACAATAAACAATTATACTTTGGGGAATGTTTGGATATTACAAAATCGACTGCATGGATAGATCTTGCCAACTTTTCATTACTTTTCATGAAGATTTTATACCATCTGGCAGCATCAAGCAAACACGCTACTTGCACAAATGTCATTTCAACGTGAGGAGCGCAGTTACACATATATTTTCACACTCATGCGTTTGCCTGTCGTTGGCACTTCCACATGAAAGTATATATATCCAAGGTGTTGATTTCTGAAAGCATTCGGTCCGCAGCACACATCTCTGCTATGAAATATACAATTTGGTGACTGTAAAGAGATCAGACTAGTAAACAGCTTTTTGAGAAGTCATGAAACCCAATGCAGGGCGAAGTGCAAAGTTTGTGATACGAGATATGCCTGGAAGTGCTGATGGCATGAAATGAGTGTATGGCCCTCCCCCGATGATCTACAACCTGAATGATATGAATTTAATGAAAGGTACACGAAGTCTCATCGAGCAAGGCCAGATACGTATGCTATCATGAGGCCAGGCTGTTACTGGACTTGCGAAAACACTCAGAGAACTTATACCACTTAGCTTGTTACTTTAGGATCATGTGGCAGTGTGAGATTCGGTTGCAATGCTCATTTTTTGACGAGAAGCAAGCAAAATGTCCACTTTCCCGGGTTACGCTCTAATTGATGACAGTTCAGCATGTCTAAAGCATGTCTAAATGCTGGAAATATCCAGGCTGTCATCATAACATGCACTTATTATCAAATGAAGGATTTTTCTGCATGGGCAACTTCAAGAGTTTTCCTACAGGACTTAAATTGGTTGTGACCTTGAAACAATTAAATAAACATCATTCTATTACATCTATGCATCTGTTAACTGGAAGAGCATGCTAAAATGTCTTTTATCATCTTTGCTGAATAATATCAGGATTTAATGCAGGAGTCAATGTAGTAGTGAGAAACCACAGCAATAAACAAGTTACATAAGTTCTAATTAACGATAGCCGAACAGTATTAGCACAACTGATATCATGCCCTGTGATGGTTAAATGTCACTGAATGTGGGTAAAACCCTTAGAGAGTAATACCACAGTATTTGTTGATGTGTGACGCCACCTTGTGGTCAAATATACACTTCCGTTCAAAAGTTTGAGGTCAGTAAGTCTTTGTATTTTAAGAAATTAAGGCTTTTATTTAGCAAGGTTTCATTAAATTGAGAAAAAGTGACAGTGAAGACATTTATAATGTTACAAAATATTTCTATTTCAAATAAATGCTGCCGTTTCGAACATTCTATTCATCAAAAAAAATCCTGAAAAAAATGTATTTCGGTTTCTACAAAAATACATAACATTGATAAAAAAGAATGATAATTAATTAATTAATTACATTAAACTGAGCATCATATCAACATATTATAATGATCTCTGAAGGATCATGTGACACTGAAGACTGAATTAATGGCTTCTGAAAATTCAGCTTTGCCAACAAAGGAATAAATTACATTTTAAAATATATTACAATAGAAACAGTCATTTTAAATTGTACAATTATTTCACCATATCATTGTTTCACTGTATTTTTGAGCAAAGACTTCTTTTAAAAAACGTTAAAAAGTCTCACAAACCCAAAACTTAATACTTGATCTTTCCAACAACTTGTAATTTAAGACAAAAGTGTGTAAGGTTCATTTTATCCATTATGACATATTCTATTTAAAAATGGTCTGCAATCCTAAAAGTATTGATATATCTCCAGGTTTAATCCCACATTTTTCAAGTGTTCTCAGACTTTTGGGCAACACGCCTCGGTTGACCACTATTCTTGTTCAAAGACATTGTAGTTGCACAGTCAAAACCATAAGACAAACATAACATACCCTGTTGTGGCTCAATGTGATCCTTAACTCAGGCTTAACAACAGCATAGGCCATGAGTAAGTTCTGGACCCTCTTCAGTTCCTCTTTGCATTTCTTAGAGTTGGAATAATACTGCCGTCTGACAGGGAGGTTCCTGAACAGATTTGCTGCACACACAGTGGTGCCTGAGGGAAAAAATGTCTGTTAGAAGCAGTCTGTTCCCATAAATCAAGAGTATTAAAAAAAATGCATTAACAGACACCTACCCTCGGCAAGGTGTGATGGCTTTTGTGAGACGATCTGTCCATTGTGATCAACTGAATACTGAAGGCTAAAATCATCATCTGCGGTTTTAGTAGTAATGACCACCTGGTAGGTGAAGAAAAGGTCAATTACAGAGGAAACATTTTTCAACCTTTGTAATTCAATGATAAAAACGATTCTCATGGACTCAGTGGTGATGCACAATATTTTGGTACCATTGTAGTTATCTGCCAATATTAGCGTTTTTTATTTATCAGTGGCAAATACTGGATATTCAATAATTGTGCAAACAATTTCCGCCTATTTGTACATTTTCCACCATCTAGCACTCACGAGTTCTTCTTTAATACCACTAATTATTTGTACTTACATTTAAATCATTAAAATTATTTTAATTTACCTTTAATTTAACATAATCCTTATCAGATTTCAAAAATGTATTTTTTTTTCATACTTTACATTATAATGTAGTCCTGCCTGAATTGATTTCAAATACCTGCTAGTGATTATTTTAGTATGTTTTATATTTCAGCCACAATACGCCACGATTTTTATATTGTGCATCACTCAAGCAATAAAATCAAACATGAATTAGCGAGACGTAACCTCTGATATGGCACATATGGATGCCAGAGCTTCTCCTCTGAAGCCATAAGTCTCTAGGCGCTCCAGGTCTTCGTGGCAGGAGATTTTAGACGTGTAGTGTTTTACTGCCATCACAGGAACATCAATAGCTTTGATTCCAGAACCATTGTCTCTGACTTCAATGCGATCCAATCCATAATTCTCCTGATCACAAGGGAACATGAACACAGATTCAGCACAGCTATTAAGAGTGGCCCCGACAATATTTGGACACTTTGGATTTGATATCAAAGTTTCATCTGCAAACTAAGGATGCTAGAGCTTATTTCTGAAAAATATTTCTGGTCTAAATGTAGATTTTAGTGGATATGGATATATGAAGAAGTCAGATCACCTCAGGTTCACACAGGTGTCATCCTTCATTTTGTGAAATGTTTTTTAAAAGTGCAATTTCTTTAAAGGAAATGCCAACGGTTTAATATTTTGTTGTCTAATTCAATGACATGAATACATTTATAAGTGTCCTAATACTGGTCAGTATGTTTGTTGATACAACGTGCATTTACCAGTTTAACTTCAAGGCTTGAGGAACCAGCATCAAGTGAATTTTCAACCAGTTCTTTGACAACATTCAGGACAGATGTTATAACCTGAGAGCTGCACAGCAGACGCACAGTCTCAGGTGGAAGCGCCTTCATAGTGTGCTCCCTAAGAAGAAAAGTTGGTCACAACACTGGTCACAAACCTGTCATTTTCGCAGAGTATTGACAAAAACTGCAGGGTAGCATGAATTCTAATAGGACACATATATGATCAACCGTGACATGAGCATTATGATACGTTAAACAATTGTATTTAAAATAGCCAAATATCTTCTTACTTACTTTATGTAAAATAATAATAATCCGTTAAAAGATAACCAAAAAATTCATAACACAAGTGTACTTCACATGTTTTCATGACTCGCTCCAGTATCGGATATGACTTAACTGGCGCCTAAATTACGTCATTGTTATTCTTTGCTTTGATTGGACGATTTTTTTCTTTGTTGTATGTTTACATATTTATATTGCTTATAAATCATTAAAAGAACATTTTAATGGTTATGGCTATCGCTAAGAAAGTATACAAATCCACAAAACTATGGTATAACTATGGTAGCATCTTTTCATGTTATTGGTTTTTTATAATTAGAAATGGTCACATAAAACTCCACACATTATTAAAAACTGACTAACAGTAGCCCAATTCTTATCCAATAATCAAAAAAATTTGATTTGATGCCTTCGCTAGTGGTGTTTTATTTTGCAAACGTCATGACTTTGGTGGGCGTGGTGCGCCAATCTCGCGATGTTTGCTCTCATAATCCCGTTAGCTGGAATAGCCTGTGTGCTAGTAGCGGAGTGTGAGCGGTGAGTCAGCCCGCAGTGCGCGCAGCGGAGGCCGGCAGCGCTCCAGCCTGCTTCACACGAACGCAAATAAGGTACCGTTACTTATCTCTTATGAATCCAAGTCATTTGGGCCGCTACTTTAATGGGCCAAATTCGGCCGACAATGGGTGGATTCCAGAGCTTTTATTGTTGTTTGAGGTGTTTAATGGAAGTAGAGTGAAACAAAAGCAACTGGTGTTTGTTATGAAAGCAGTAGATGCTAAATAAAGAGCACTGGTCATGCGCAAAACCTAAAGCAACTCAGTATAATAGCACAGACAGGAGAATAAGCATGTTAAAAGAGTGTTATTTAAGTGGTTAAATGAAAGAATACAGTAAGCAGTGCAGGAATAAGACAATGTTTTGGCAGGTAGCTGTGTTGCTAACTCTATCTGTGTCATGGACTTGTTTATCTCCTGCAGCTGCTACTAAAAAAACCAACATGAATTTTTATGTAATATTTAGGTAATTTTAAAGGGGTCATATGATGTTGCTAAAAAAGGGGTCATATGATGTTGCACATTATTTTGTGTATTTGGTGTAATGAAATGTGTTTATGCGGTTTAAGGTTAAAAAAACATTATTTTCCACATACTGTACATTAATGTTTCTCCTCTATGCCCCGCCTTTCTGAAACGCATCGATTTTTACTAAGCTCATTGGTCTGAAAAGCGAGGTGTGCTGTGATTGGCCAGCTATCCAGTGCATTGTGATTGGCCGAATACCTCAAGCGTGTGACAGAAATGTTACGCCCCTTACCATACTATGATGCCGTGTCCCGGCCGGAGCGATGAGACAAAACGTCTCCGGTTACTATCGTAACATGGGTTCCCTGAGAGCGGGAACGAGACATCACAGAGATATTTCTCCATAATGGGAACTCCTTCCCTTCCAACCTTTCCTGAAGTCCTATTGGCTCACGCCAGTCCAAATGACTGGCCAATTGTCGCGAAGTATGCAAATCGCATGCAAATACTGACGAGCTCGAGAGGCAGTATAAAATGCAGTGCACGCGACAATTACGTCAGAATCTGATACTGAACGCAGCTTAGCTGGTTGAGCAGCGAACACGGCGACCTCTGTGATGTCTCGTTCCCGCTCTCAGGGAACCGAGGTTACTATAGTAACCGGAGACGTTCCCTCTCGAGTTTTCACGAGACATCACGGAGACATTTCTCCATTATGGGAACAATATTCAATCCCGCCGTGAGAGAGGCTACGAGCAGCCTGTACAAGTCACACATACTCAGCAAAGATAGAACACACAATTCCCACAACCAATAGCAACGCTTGTTAGGCGGGCTCGCAGCTGATAGGTGGAGATAAGCCAATGAGCGTCCAAAGCCCAGGTATACGAAATGTGCATATCTGGTTAGTAATAACATAGGCTGCGCTGAGAACAGGGCAGAAGCAACAACAGTACTGTAAGGGGCTGCACAGAGATAACTGTTTAGCAGCATAACACATAACATGATAATGGTAGCACGAAGGGAATCAGACATTAATAACAGGAAGCTGCACTGAGTACAGGGCAGATAACAACAACAATAGCATAGAGGGCTGCGCAGAGTAACTACTGTGCGAGGCAGCAAACACACATGAATAGAAGTAGCATAAACGTTACTCAGCAAAGATAGAACACACAATTCCCACAACCAATAGCAACGCTTGTTAGGCGGGCTCGCAGCTGATAGGTGGAGATAAGCCCTGCAAAGCATATATCTTGAATAGACCTACCTCTCGACCACGCCCAGGAGGAGGCGATAGCTCTTGTTGTGTGGGCCCTAATGTGCAAAGGGCATTCAAAACCTTGGCTTGTATAAGCAGACGTGATAGCGTCCACAATCCAGTGGGCAAGTCTCTGTTTTGACACGGCCCGGCCCTTCGCACAACCACCATAGCACACGAAAAGCTGGTCAGATTGCCGAAAGCTGGCCGAACAGTCAATGTAAATCCTCAAAGCCCTAACGGGGCACACCGAAGTCTGAGTGTCCGTATCACGTGAGGTCGATGACTCAGAAGACAGGGCAGACAGCGAAACAGTCTGCGCTCTGAACTTAACTCCACCTCTAGGTTCCAGGGCGGGACTGAAGGCAGATGCAGGGGGAACCGATCGATTGCCCGCCCAGCGGGGAACGAAACGAGGCAATAGCGGCCACATAGACTTTCAGAGTTGATGGTAGAGATCCACTCACTATCCAGTACTGTAGAAAACACAGAATATCCGACACGGAGCAAGCAGCCAGGTCGATATGAACATCACGGCACCATTTCACAAACACTCCCCATTTTAGAGCATACAGACGTCTGTATGTGAGAGTGTGTCGAGCACACGGGAATGCAGGGCACTCAGCTCCTCTGATATCCCCATAGCAGCCACACATGAAGGCTCCATAACTCCGGGTTCGGGTGCCACACCGAGCCGCTCGCTTGAGACAGCACAACGCGCGACGTCACCAAGCCCAGGGGAACCCCCTGGCTGAAGAGATCTGGGTAGAGCCACGGCTTCAGAGCTTTGATGCAGCCGCGGGAGACCGCGATGCGCAAACAGCCCGAAGCCCACGCCGTCCAAGGGACTCGAGATTTCAGCCATAATTGCAGCGGGTGCATGTGTAGTAAGCCCAGATGACCACTGAAGCAGACGCCATGAGTCCCAGCAGCCTCTGAAATTCCTTCAAGTGAACATAGTTGCCCAGTCTGAAATGGCGCAGGGAAGACAAAATGGCTCGCATCTCCACCAAGTCGAAGCACACTCCCAGATATGTTATAGACTGACTCGGGGCGAGAATGCTCTTCTGCATGTTGACACATAGCCCTAGGGACTCCAAGTGACAAAGCAGCGTGTCTATATGGCTGACTAGCGTGTCCCAGGACTGAGCTAAAATCAGCCAATCGTCCAGGTAGTTGAGAATGCGCATTCCGCTCGCTCTGAGAGGGGAAAGTGCTGCATCCATGCACTTTGAAAAACTTTTAAGTCTTTTATGTCCACGGACGCAAACCAGTCCCCGGGGCGAATTTGCGCCAGGATCTGTTTCAGCGTTATCATCCTGAATGGACGCTTGCAAAGTGCTCTGTTGATGGGCGAGCGGCACCGCATTGACTGAGTGAGGAGGAAAGAGCTCTTTTTGTGAGAATGTATGCATTTTTATTGAATGAACATCCAACACACAAACATTCCAACACATGAACTTGTGGCGCTTGGGAGCCGGGCTGCTCGCGCACTCTCCTCCTCTCTTCAGACCGTCAGAACGACGGCTTAGCCGCCGGCGGCGGGCGAGAGTCACGTCGCGGGCTTCTCCGCTGGCCGTGGCGTTTCCTCCAGGGACCCCACGCCTTCCTCCGGACATCCGGCTCCTGGCGAGGAGCGGTAGCAGACACCGCCACGGTTGCTGACCTGGGGTTATCCCTCCGTTGGGAAGAGCCAGGTGCCGACGAGGATCTGGATCTCGCCGTCTGCTGCTGGAAAGCGCACCTCGGCATCACTTGACTCATGGCTTTGGCGCGCTTTTGAGCCTCCGCGAAGCGCTCAATAATGGACTCCACGGCGTCACCGAAGAGGCCGGAGGGAGTCACCGGAGCGTTCAGCAGCATCCTTGAGGTCAGCCAGGTTTAATCATAGGTGCCTCTGAAGGACGACCATAAAACCCATGGCCTTACCCACGGCCTGGGCCGCTTGCTTCGTCGCCATCAGCGCGAAGTCCGTCGCCGCGCTCAGATCCTTAATGGCCTCCGCCGTGAGGGCTCTGCCCTCCACCGCCTGAAGGAGCTTCACCTGAAAAACCTGCAGCACCGCCATGGTGTGCAGCGCAAAAGCCGCCTCGCCATCAAACGCATATGCTTTATTGGCGAGGTGAGCGGTGGTCCTGCACGGCTTCGAGGGGAGGCTGATGTCCGAGCCTAGGGTCTTGGCTGCTGCAGGACACAGGTGCGCAGCGACAGTCTCCTCGACGGGGGGAGAGCGCACGTATCCGTGGGCCTCCGCCCCATCCACGTGGGAAAAGATGGCCTGTGTGGCAGAGTGGACCATGTTTTCACCAGCTGCTCATGTACGTCGGGGAAGAAGGGGACCGACGCCCTCGAGTCAGCTTTCCGGGTGGACCTGAAATACCAGGAGTCAAGCTTACTCCTGGCAGGCTCCTCTGGAGGACTCCAGGTAAGCTCCAAATCCTGGACCGCTTTCACCAGAACCCTCATGAGCTCCTCCTGGAGGTCTGGGGTCCCCATGCTGTCCGGCTGATCGGACTCCAATCCCGCCCAATCCTTCCTCTCCGAGGCCGAGATTGACATCGTGTCATTCCCCTCCTCCTGGCCAAAGGACACAAACTCCGCAATGTTGGAAGGAGGGAGGAAGCAGTCCTCGGGGAAGGAGGCCGGGGAACGGGGCAACCGTTGGGGCTGGTGGAGCGGCAAGACGACGCTCCCGTCACGGGGAGGACCCACCAGTGGCACGCTGGCGGCAGTGGGCCTCACCCCGAATAGTCCGCGAGCCACATCGCGGCGGGTCCGGAGCACGCGGGCCGGAAGGTCCGCGCAATGCCCGCAGTTGGACTCGTCCAGCGCCGCCTCGGCGTGGGCCAGGCCCAGGCAGGCGACGCAGTGGTCATGTTGATCCGGCGGCTC